GGAATGCCGCTGTGGCATGTAATGTGTCCTTCCTCTAAGAAGACAACTAACAGACCATGCTGGGCTGAATGAGTTGGGCAGTTGTCTAGTTTTGACTGCGAGGTAAGTGATTTGCTTCTTGCACTGCCTTTCAGTATTTACAATCGACATTTGGGCTTCAGCAAACTTGTAAATTACTGCCTAGCGGGGGTCACTTCAGGGTGACTCAGGAAGTGCTAGATGAGCAAATGTTAAAACTGAAAACAGATCTTCTGCCTGGGGCCTGGGAGGCAGGGGCCACAAAGAGTCTAGAGCATAGTATTAGCAGCTGTTTGTAAAAAATCAACATGATTGTTTCCCCGAAGCCCTGAGTACCGCACCTAAAAACCTGCAAAAACAATAAGAGAATCCATCAGCTGATTCCAAATCAATATAAAAAATTGATACCTTTTCTATGAGATAATTAAAGAGCACTGTGAAAAACAGAATGGAAATCAAAACCCTGTTTCTAATAACAACCAAAACTAAAGAGCCCCACGAGCGCAAGTCCTTTTATGCTAAAAACATTCAATAGAGTAAAAATATCAGTTCTTTCTAATTTAATCTATAAAGTTGAAGTCATCGCATCAGAAAATGGAATGGAATTGTTTTTTAACTAGAAAAACAGTTCCTAGATGGACGATTTGAGAATAGCCAAAACATTTCTAAGAAAACGAAAACTAAAGAGAGAGCGCTAATCATCCCAGTTATTAAATCATATTATAAAGCTACAATGATTGAGGCAGTTTGGTATCGGCAGAGGAGAAAAGAGAACCAGGCAATAGACCGACCGCATATATGAGAGTTTGGTTTCAGCAAAGGAGACTGTTAAAATTACACAAAGACAGTTATTCAACCAATTGTGTTTGAATACCCGGCTCATAGGGTTAGGCGGCTGCTGTACTCTTGACCACAAAACTAATTCAAAATGGGTTGAAGATTGAAATAAAATTATAAAAGGACTAGAATAAAACACATTTTTTAAAATGACCATTGTGAAGGGGAGAAGACCTTTCTGAGCAAGACACAAAACTTAGAAAATACAAAGGAGATTGGTCTGTTTGACCGCTGACTACATACAAATTAAACCAAGAAAAAAAACCCTCTATATTGCAGCAAATTATAATGTTTATTACTTTATGAGATGAAAAGGCAGAGGACAGACAGGGAAGTTTGGTAATACACAGTATTGGCAATACACAGCACAAACAAAGGGAGAGATTTTTTAACATTGAATATGTCCTTAGAAACCATTAAGGAAAATACCAAGAACCTAATAGAACGGGGCGCAGAAACGCAGTGACAGAAGAAGAAATATACAAAGGGTTTCTGTTCATTTAGAAACAGATCCGATCTCAAATACAAATCACTGCAGTGAGATGTTGTTTTTACCTGCGCCAGTGTCTGAGATGCCGGGGTTTAATAGGATGGAGCTGAGGTGGGACTGGCATGCCGACAAACTCATGGAGTTTTGTCGGGAATGGAAATCAGCGCTGCCTTTTTTGGAAGGCAAACCTGTCAAAGTTAAAATCCGTTTACGCTTTGGCCCAAAGTCCACATCTACGAAGATATTCACACGTGCCGGTGTGGACACTCGAGTGTGTTTATTGTGCTCTTTTTAGCAAAAGCAGGGCAGCGACCCACGTGCTTGTCCCTGAGAATTGGATAAGTAAATGATAGTATGTCCCTGGGGTGGAATCCAGTGCAGCAGTTTAAGGAATATCAAAATATTTTTAACCCACGACATGGGAACATTCGCTGATGGGGAGCATTCTCTGAGGTAAGGAGAAAAACAAAGGTGAAACTGTCTGTCCAGAGCGCTTGGAACATGAGAAAGTTACCCACGCACAGAAAATATCTGGGGTTCCAGAAAGGTCGGTGTGGGGTAGGCATCTCAGTCTGAGGTCAAAGAGAGACCTGCTCTTTTTTCGGTATGCAGGCCTCTCACTGTTGTGGCCTCTCCCGCTGCAGAGCACAGGCTCCGGACGCGCAGGCTCAGCTGCCATGGCTCACGGGCCCAGCCGCTCCGCGGCACGTGGGATCCTCCCGGACCGGGGCACAAACCCGTGTCCCCTGCATCGGCAGGCAGACTCTCAACCACTGCGCCACCAGGGAAGCCCTGAGAGACCTGCTCTTTTAAAGTTACATATCTTGGGCTTCCCTGGTGGCGCAGTGGTTGAGAGTCCGCCTGCCGATGCAGGGGACACGGGTTTGTGCCCCGGTCCGGGAGGATCCCACGTGCCGCGGAGCGGCTGGGCCCGTGAGCCACGGCTGCTGAGCCTGCGCTCCGCGACGGGAGAGGCCACAACAGTGAGAGGCCCGTGTACTGCAAAAAAAAACAAAAACAAAAAAATAAATATCTTTCGTACCATTTGAATTTTTACCGTATTTTCCCCCCTACTTTTTGAATAATCAAAGAGTTTGGCTGGTGGTAGTTATAGTCACTTTAGGACTAATGAAAGGAATGCATATTTTCTAGGAAGTGTTTTGTCTTTCAAATGAGTAAATAAATAAATAAATAAATAAATATGACCTTACCTGGTGCTGGAGGGCATTTCATAGACATGAAATTACGAAATATTCGCCCGCTGCCGATGTCGCGTCAATTGGTCCGATGCCTTCAGAAAATAATTTGGCAGTCTTTCCAAAGCTCATATCCTTTGACCCAGTAATTTAGTTTTAGGAAAAATGAAAGAAAATGTCTTTAAAAGAAAACCCCAAAATGTTCAGTTATAGTCAGAGTGGCTTCATTGCCTAACTCCAGGAGCCCCATTCACTTTCACGATGCCCCAGACGATACTAGTTAGATTATATAAAACCACCAGCAACGTAAAAGCCCGACAGTGAGGGGCTGATTATGCAAATGAAAGTGTACAAAGGAATATTACACAGTCCTAAAGGTGTTTTCCAGAAAGAGCAAGCATTGGAAAATGCCTGTGATAGGATGTGTAGCAGAATCACCATTAGGATGACAGGGCTGATGCGGAGAAAAGCCTCGGAAGCTGGATTAAAGCCCGTGGTTCTTGCCGTGCAGGCTGTGGAGTACAACATCTTCGAAGGCATGGAGTGCCATGGCTCCCCGTTGGTGGTCATCAGCCAGGGTAAGATCGTCTTTGAGGACGGCAGCATCAACGTCAACAAGGGCGCAGGCCGCTTCATTCCGAGGAAGCCCTTCCCCGAGTACCTCTACCAGCGCGTCAGGATCAGGAACAAGGTATGTGGAGCCAGGGTCTGTCGTGTGCAGAGCGAGTAAATGTCACAGCTGCAGGAGCCCCCCCTTCCTCACGTGTCACATGAGCTGGGACGTGACCCGCCTGCGTCTCAGGCTGGAGTGAGGACCAGACGAGACCGACGAGGTGCCAGGGATTTGCCAACTGTAAAGGGCTGTGCATGTGGGGCAACGGGAGGAGTCCTGGGAGTACACCAGCCAGGACGCACATCCTGCATCATCCTGGGGGGGGGGGCATCTTCACCACCCCCTCTTTTAGGTGTCATGACCTTCCTTCTGTAAATCAGAACCGTGGCGCTCAAGGCAGTGCAGGACTGTCCAGCATCACACAGCTGGGAGAGCTCTGAAGCCCTTAGTGCCGTTTGGTAAAAATAAACTGCCCTATCCCACTTGAGGGGTGGCAGAACTGCCTCTAGACTCCCTTCGATCTGCCCTCTTTTCTCCTCCTTGCTCCCCTTCCATTCTGCATCCTCCTTCCCGCCTTTTTCTTGAGGAGTCTTAGCATGGACCCAGGAGGTCAAAGGGCATGGAGTAGGCACAGGCTCTGTCCTGTCCCCAGTCCAGTTCAGAGGAGGAAGTTTGCTCATGCTTCAGAAAGACTCCCATCCGTGATCAATCATCTTCCCTAATTAGGTCCCTCCCATCACCATGACAACCTGCTTCCCGCACTAAAACGGCTCATGTCTGCCAGAAAGCCCAGCTTTATTTGTGTATGTGCACGGGTGTATGTGTATATGCATGGGGTGCTCCTGTGCTCGCTTATGTGTTTGTATATGTGTGCGTGCATGTGTGCCCACCTGTGTACGGTCCCACTCTTCTTGTGCTTCGTAAGTGTCACCAGTGCCACCAATTTAGATGCAAGAGCCCAGAGGCCTCCTGGCATTCCCAGACTCCCAGGCCAACCATCACAATATGCTCTGTGTCTGTTTACTGTCCCTCTCTCCACGCCTTAAAGTGTAGCATCCCAGGTCAAGGAAACCAAATTGCACAGACGTTACGCGTCAGATGGGGAAACGGTGGACATGGAGAATTGGCAAGTTAGATCCGAAAGATGACCAGGGATAGCGATGTGGCCACAGCAGGCTGCTGAGAGACAGAGGGACTCGTGTAAACTCCTGTTTGGGACACCCACCAAGGGGGCAGAAGCACACCTTGGCTGGCTTCATTCCCTCTAAATCAGTTTGAACCTGAGGTCTGTGGTTAACAGTCAGCATCTGTGAGTTGGATGCCTGACCCCAATGCCAAGACGTGATCTGCAGTGGCCGGGCGGACAGGTCCCCTGGCACAGGGCCACCCTCCCCGCATACCTGAGGGCAGAGCACAGAGGCCAGGCCAGGTGGGGGATGGGCCCTGCCCCAGAACCTATGTCTGGCCAAGCTGAGTTCAGAGGTCACTGAAGGGAGCTGGGGGGCAGGAACACAGGCCTGGAACCGGCTGGAACCAGGGAAGCCCAGAGGCGCAGGAAGCAGGTATTGAGAGGGATGGGGCAGAGACAATGAGGTCCCAGGGTGTCAGGGGAGCCGGGCTGCTGGGGGCAGAGGATGGGTTATCACCAAGCAGCGCTGAGCCCTTGATATTGGTGCTGAAAAAGGACCCCTTTTTTGTAGAGGAGGGAGCCTAGGGCTGGGGTCGGGCGCTGTCACTGACTCACAGTGGGAACCTGCACGTGTTCCTGGCCACACTCTGTCTCCCAGGGCCTGGGACAGACGCCCACACTCCCCTGGCCGGCTCTGAGCTCACCAGCAGGCTCCCAGCCTCCCACCGGAGCCCCTGCAGCTTTTGGCTTCTCTGCCTCATAGCTTTCTCTCCCAGGACAACCCTCCACCCACGGGGATGGAGGCTGTGCACTGTGTCCCGTACTCCCTGGGCTCCAGGAGGTTTGCCCCCTGCAGTAGCCCTGAGCCAGGTGCCCTCAGAGGCGGCCTTCTCGTTCTCTCTCCCTGTGGTGGGTGTCCTCCCTCCTCTCTCCCTCCTTTGCGGGATCACCTTCCAAACTACCTGCCCCCAAATCCACGATGAAGACGACCCCCTGATGCCACCAGTCCCCGATTCAGGGGTCCTTGTCAGGGTGTCAGGGAAGTGTTTTCCTCTTGGAAATAGCTTTGGAGTCCTCCTGCACGAAGCTGTGTATGTGTCTGTGCTTGTGTGTGTATGTATATGTGTGTATGCATGTGAGTGTGCACTTGCCTGTCTTTTTATGAACGTGTGTTGGATTGTATGTGTGTGTGTTATATACGTTAGTGTGTATATTAAACATGGTGTGTGTGCACGTACATGTATGAATTGTGTGTATGCATGTGATCGTGTACCCTGCTGCGTATGAATTGTGTGTGCAGGCATGTGTGTGCATGTACATGCACGTGTGAATTATGTGTATGTGGAGTGTGCGGGGTGTGCATGCATATGTATGTTTGTGCGCATGCATATATATATGCCTGTGCACGTGTGTGAGCGGGTGCCTTGTGTGGTATGTGTACAAGCACGTGTGTGCGTGTTTGTGCATACGTGTGTGTATCCCCGAGGAGACCGTGGTCACTCTCCTGCACGCGGGAATGCATACATGCATCTTGTCAATCAGTTGTTGTTCTTGTCCTCTGTTTAGGTTTCTGGGTTGCAGGGGGTTCCCAGAGGCATGTATGACGGTCCTGTGTACGAGGTGCCAGCCACACCCAAATATGCAACCCCTGCTCCTTCTGTCAAATCTTCGCCTTCCAAACACCAGCCTCCACCGATCAGAAACCTCCACCAGTCCAACTTCAGTTTATCAGGTATGAAACTACAGCGGCCAAGGTTCCCCACCCCACAGTGGCTCCCAGAGCCCTGAACTCCTGAGAAATGGACCCGTGGCCTCAGGCACTCGATCAGGAGCCGAAGATGGGAGTGTGGGTTCCCCTCCCCTCCCGGGGTTGGGCAGAGAGGGCTGGGGGAGGTCAGAGAGCAGAGAGGGTCCGTGGGAGCAGCACAGAGATACCTGACCCTGATTTATGAAGAGTCTGCCTGAAAATTGGCCTTATGCTCTTCCTTAACACGCTTGGGGACATTTTACACTCGTACCCGTGAAGCTAAGTGTGGAGAGGGGAATCAGAGTAGCTGCCTTTGCTGGATGTACGTTCTGGCCCGGGTCTTCAGCCATCCATGGTAGTACAGTACACACTCTCATAACTCATGACTGTTTCATCTTCACAACAGCCCTGTGTGTAGAGTGGTGTTATTCCTGTTTCTTTAAGGAGGAAATTAAGGCTCCAAGACATTCAGCGTCAAAATGCCAGGACTTGGTGCTCAACAAATGTGTGCAGACAAAATCAAAAGTTCACGTGGTCCTTCAGACTTTCTGAAGGCTCCTGGGACATGTGTCTGCAGTTTCATCAGATCGCCACACGAGGGCAGGTGTGCACACGTTGGGACATTGCCTTGGAATTTCGAATATGAGTTATAGCATGAGTTATATGCTGTGCCAGGTGCAGGAATACGGTGATGAATAAGACACAGCTGGGCAGGCTCAGTCTATTCTAGAGGTCTGCAAACTTTTTCTTAAAAGGCCAGGTAGTAAGTATTTTAAGCTTTGTGAGCCAAGAGGCAATATCTAAGACCATTTGAAATGGAACCATTTAAAAATGCAGAAAACTATTCTTAGCTCATGGGCTGTAAAAACAGGGCTGAGAGCTTCCTTGGTGGCGCAGTGGTTGAGAGTCCGCCTGCCGAGGCAGGGGACACGGGTTCGTGCCCCGGTCCGGGAAGATCCCACATGCCGCAGAGCGGCTGGGCCTGTGAGCCATGGCCGCTGAGCTGCGCGTCCGGAGCCTGTGGTCCGCAACGGGAGAGGCCACAACAGTGAGAGGCCCGCGTACCGCAAAAACAAACAAACAAACAAAAAAAGCAGGGCTGAATTTTCTCAATGGGCTGACTTCTGGTCCGGCAGGAGTGAAGGACATTTAAACAGAAAAGGCGATGTAGTTGGCAAAAGAGAGAATGGAAGGGGCAGAGAGAAGATGAAATACCAGTTTAAATTGCGGGGGCGACAGCCTACCATCCATTCAGGGATTATGCAGTGGGGAGCATGAATCAGAGGGTCCCCCAGTCCAGTCCATCTCACTTTCCCTGAGCCTGTCATGGAAGAGTTTCTCCCACACCGTGTGATCCAGCGTCTAAAGAAAACTAATATTTTTGCACAGGTGGACCCTAAACACAACTGGAATATTTCATCTGATGCTCAATCAGCAGAACAGGGATTGGTTGCAATGCTTGGAAAACTGTCTGTGTGTGACAACACACAACCTCTCAGGGAGTTTGCACACTGGATCTCTGGTCTCATGTTCCGCAATTCACGATTGCAATTAAATGCTGAGAGACATTCCCTCCCTTTTAGAACAACAAAGAAACAATGAAATGGAAAGTCTGCAGGAAGTGTCCCCCAACCACCCTTCTCCCTGTTCAGCACCCACTCCTCTCTACAGCCCCCGCGCTGCCTTTGACCAGCCCCTCAGCAGTTTCACAGGTGACTCCATTGGATACCAACTGCACAGACACTTTACAACATCAGGATGGACTTCACAGATGTCCTTTTAATTAATTAATTAATTTATTTATTTATTTATTTATTTTGGGCTGCGTTGGGTCTTCGTTTCTGTGCGAGGGCCTTCTCTAGTTGCGGCGAGCGGGGGCCACTCTTCATCGCGGTGTGCAGGCCTCTCACTGTCGCGGCCTCTCTAGTTGCGGAGCACAGGCTCCAGACGCGCAGGCTCAGTAGTTGTGGCTCACGGGCCTAGCTGCTCCGCGCCATGTGGGATCTTCCCGGACCAGGGCTCGAACCCGTGTCCCCTGCACTGGCAGGCAGATTCTCAACCACTGTGCCACCAGGGAAGCCCCACAGATGTCCTTTTAAGTATCTGAGTGAGGTTACATCATAAAGACATAGCATGGTTTATTGAAGTGCTGTCCTTTTGTACAACAGGTATTTTCAAAGTACCTGGCATGTAACCAAGCAAGGTACAGATGCTTATGAGGTAGAAAGATATTAAGCACTTGGCCTGATTTCTTGGTCCAGGAAGACACACTGTCTGTCAATGAAACAATGAGAGAAAATCAGTCAGTACTCTAAACCAAATTCGTTGTGGCTTACACAGATCATATAAAGTCAGAGGTAGAAAGACCTCATCTAGTTATTTTTGTCGTTGTTTTCATTGAAGTCTTAATTGGTAAATCTTTGGTTCCTTATGAGGGTCAGCATTTTTCATGTGTTTATTTAAAATTTCCTCTTTGGTGAAATCATTGGGAGTGATGGTGAGAGGGGATAATCCAGTTTCCACCTCCTGGTTCCTGGGAACATGACATCGAATATCGGGCATTGGTTCAGTACACATATTGTACCCTGGGAGGCAGCGCCTGACCCTAGCAGGCAGCCTAGCAGAGCTCTCAATGTAGACCATCCCATCTTCGTATCAGGCCAGCATCTTCCGA